ATGTAATGTATTTATAATTCTGAAAACCATTGTCGTGTATTTGGCTGAAACTATTAAAAATAAAAAATGAAAATTAACCAAATTGAATATTTGACAAGATCAACGACATATGAATGAGAAGAGGAGATTGTAACAAGCCCATTGGGGACAAGCATCGACATATCAATGGCATATGAAAAAGGAGAGGAGTTCGTGAAGGGAGCTCGTTAAAGGGAGTTAATAGGACCGATGACATTGAAAAAGAAAGGAGATTGCGATAAGAGCTTAATGGAGCCCCATCATTATTGAAACAATTTTTTTCTAATGTTATTCTAGCAACATTGAAACAAAATTGTTCTATTAAAAAAAGTACATCATCATATCCAAAACATTTGAATTTCATGACAGGGACCTACCCTTGGTCAACTTTAAGTAAACTAGTATGTTACCACTTAAAGCATACAAACATGGAAAATGTGTATTCGCTTTGAAAGGCATACCAACGCATCAAGGAAATCACAAATTTGGAGAGTGCGACTTTAAAATCTATGAGCAATGTATAAACACCAATTACAAGCTAGTGCATTAACATTTTTTGTTGGTACATCAAGAGATGCTAAATGACTAAAAACACCATAAAATGTTTATGGGGTTGAGAACTTTTAAGAGCAACATAAATGTCTTTAAAAAGTATATGGGGCATTGCAATTTGAGCATTGAATCAAAAGATTGTGTTAATACGCAATACACGTTGATGCATTGAAAGGAGAGTCTATGTATAATCCATCAAAAAATATATTTATAAAATATGAAAGCACTATAAAACCTCTTGCATGGTTATAAATTACTCAAAGCATAAATATTTATAATGTTGCATGGAAAAACATGCTAACATGCGCACAAATCCTATATGATTCTATACCAATGTTGACAGTTCAATAGATCTCGAGACAACCCAAACAATGATGAACCCTTGCAAAATTGCCTCAAAATCATGACTCCTTAACAAACTGTCATATAAATAAAAGTAGCCATTATTCTCAATTGATCTAGGGATCCTAATGAGTCATCATTCTCATTATCATGATAAATTATGCACTGTGCAAAGCTATAAACGGGACATGACCTTCGTTTTATGTCTCATCTATGGGCCTTCCAAAGGATATAGGACCCCTATACCAAATTTGCATAAAAAAATACTATCTAGCCACTAACAAACCTTTTCAAGAATGCAAACCAAATTTGCATCAATAATATTTCAAAGGAATTTACAACACATACCTTGAAACAAACATAATACAATCCACAAAAAATAAAGTAGTAAACGCATCCTAATGACAAAATTCATGCAAACAGCAAAATCAGGATATATTTAAATATACACAGCACAAGACAGCTTTCAAAATCAATTGCAATGCATCAAAAGTGTGCAAATACATCATGCAAATACAATAAATAATGATGCAAACGAATCATGTAAGTGCACCAAAATTGTGCAAGTACATCATATAAATGCAAAAATAGTAAAGAGTACAACATACAAATACACAAAATAATCATGCAAGTGCACCATAGAAATACACCAAAATTTATGCAAGTGTATCATGCAGGTTTCTTGACATGCTCCCTTGTCCTCAAAAAATGAGCTAACCGACAAACATTAACATCTCAACAAGTGCTCTAACAAGCATGTTAAATGCTCAAACTTAAAGTCAGATAATACTATGCTGACAAAAAAACTAATATTAAAATCAACTTAATTCATCCTGCCTTGATAAGCATGCAACCACTTTTGAATTTCATAAAATCTTTTTCAAAATTTGAATTCATCAATACGTTGTACACACACTCGAGTAAACTACCTTGCATACACTGTAAGTTTCGCTCTTCAAGTCCAATCATCAATGTCACAAAGAATGGAGTTGCTAAGATCTATGCTCCATGACATACATTAATGCAAAAAATGTCCAAACAAACTCAAAAATATGTAAACATTTGAGCAAGATCCTTTACAAACAGACAAGCAGAGTTGACAAGGTTTATATTAATAAAATTCAATCGAATATCCCAAGGATGAGTGTAACCATCATATACCATAATCTGAGTTCAATCTCAAAAGTACATCTTTCAAGTTCAAATACAAATAATTAAAGTAAATTACCTTGATGGTGGCCAAGTTGACAAAAAATAACTACCGAAGGAGAACATATTTTACAAAATGCCCACCAATCCCAAAGCAAATAATGTCAAGCTCAAATCTAGAAAAATGTGCAAATTTCAAGAAAATTACAAACTTTAAAAATCTCAGGCAAAATTTATCACTTAAAACTAAGAGCATCAAACACACCTATCTTTCATCACAATTTGTTGTGAGAAATGTAAAATTAACCTGAGCTCACAATGAGTCAACATCATATCATGTATACATCTATGATCACTCTCAAATATCTCATGCTAGTAAGGATATGCCACAAGTTCTTTGACTTCGTGGTTTTGCCACCAAATGCACACAAAAAAAGTATGATTATAACTGGGGCTATCTAATTTGATAATTTTCCACTAAATAGCACTATCAAATTATATTCATAACCAAAGGTTTAGAAATTGCCCAATGACATTTATCCCTTGAATAATGAATCATGGAATGCACTTGATAGGACACTAAACCCTTTGTTAACTAAATCAACTTAAAATTTTCCCACAAACATTTGTCTTAGTTCTATAGGTTTTTTGCAGACAACAGAACCATAATTGTTTATAAAGAAACTTTGGAGTAGTTGCGGTTGACTACTTCCTTTGACTAGGTAAATCAAAGTTTGTGATTATCTGAGAGGACAAAACTACCCCAAAGTAACTAAGACAGAGTCAAAGTTTGTTAAATGCTTGCTTATAATTGTTGCTATTATAAGCAAGCATATAACATCCACCAAGTAGTCTTAATTAAAAATTCTCTTTCGTGATTGGGAAGAGTAATTAGCCATAGGAGCTTCGCCTATGAAAAACATAAAATAGATATAAAATCCTCACAAAACAAGATTGAAATCTCTAAGTCCTATATAAAAATCGAATCTCTTTTGAAAATTTGGTTCATCACTAAGAGTTTATTAGAAGAGTCGAGAATGAATTTTTTTAACTCACATAACTGCCTTCGACATGAGCCACAACTTAACTCTTTGAAAAGCTTGTTATAAATACCACATCAACCGTTTAAAATTTTGTCATCACTAAGTGTTACATGTGATTTTATTTGTAGTTTTGACAAGCACTTATGCATGGCAATTAGTCATACAACTTAGTCCAACACTTACTAATTCTTAGCATTAGATCATCCCTCGTTGTTGTTAGATCTTTTTACTTTCATTTATGTTGCCTAAACCATCAAAGCCAATTTTCTATAGCCTAAGAACAACTCCTAGATACTTTCTAATCCAATTTTTTTGCAGTCTATATTACATATTTTCATCACACATCCATGTTAATATTCCTTTTTCTCTAATATTCAAGTTGGTTGTTTATAAGGTTTTACATTGTATTCATATAACATATTCGTACTTAAAACCATTGTACAAGTCTCCCAACTATTCGACTAAATTTATTTATTTTATTTTATTTTATTGTTATTCTATTATGAAAATAGTGTCATTGAGGCACTTTCTCTTTAACTGTCAATTTTTTTCACTCTATGCCCCTGGAAGTCGAGCCCAAGAGGCAAAACTCGACGGGAAGATACCATCACCGCCCACCGTAGACCACAGCCGACCGTCGTCGTCGATCGCTATCGGTCGTCGTCCGTTCCTAACAATAAGTTTATCTACACGTCGATGTTGTAACTTGAGAAACTTTGTAACCATTTTTCGCCTGTGGGATAATGGGTCACTATAATCATCAACTTATACTAGATTTTTACAACTGGGTCAGGCTCGTAGTTTTTTCCCTTTCTGGGTTTTCCACGGAAAAACTTCTTGTACCTCGACTGGTTATTTCTTTCACGTGAGTTTGTGCGAAATCTTCGTACCATGCTAAGACGGTAATACATTACTCTACTACCGCGAATTTTTTAGCACGCATCACCATCCTTCCATTACAAATGTCAGGGCAACTAAAAGAGCACTATAAATGTTGAATAAAAGGGGTTTAGACTAAATTGCGTCTAAGAAACACATAAATTAAACTTTTTTTCAACATAAACATTTATCAAATGTTAACATAAAAACAAGAACAATAACAGATGGCCAGTCAGCTCAACAGCTGAACTACACTGATAACCAAACCGGGCCAAACAGATTCCAATCCGAATGAAGAGACACCAAAAGAAGACTTATATTTTAGAACTTTTATGAACTCATTGTTTCTTCTACCCGCCTAATCATACTATTGTTGATTACACTCCTGAGCAGAGCTTTTATTTTGAACAATCATTTATCCTCCCAATTTGTTAACAAAATCTAAAAGAGGCATTCACGTACATACCACCCAATTCCTATATATTTACATATCAGACAACTAAACTTTAGCTTTTACATTTATACCATCCACATCTTTCGTATCACATAAACATATACCACAATTTTATAGTACTAAACTCCTTTAATTAGTTGTAGGGTCTCCTCCACGATTCATTCATTAACAGCTCCATTCTTATTACTCTCGTGGAAAACAAAGTCAAATTTGTTGACCAAACCGCACCATTTTCCCTCTGAAACTAGCGAACGGTTATCATCCTCTCAGTATTTTGGGCCCCGGTCAACATGCATTCGTTGCGAATAATCAAAAAAAAAAAAAAAGCATTTAAATTGCTTCAAGAAGTTAATTAGATGACCAAAAATGCTTTAAAAAAATAAAAAAAAATCCCACTTTTAAAATCTCCCCAAACATGCAGGTGATAATCAGTCGAAAACTAAAAGGAGTTGGTCGGAGAAAGTGGGGAGGCAGTTAATTGCGACAGTTAGGGTATTTAAGTTCCGAAACCCTAATTAGCAGCAGAGATGAGCAGAATTCAAATAGAAAAATAAATTTGAGAAATGGAACAGAAGCTCTGCTTCCTCTTCTTCTTCCTCTTCTCCCTCCTTACCTCTTCCCTCGTCGCTGTGGACAGCCGGCGGATTCCGGCGAACATCACGCACACATTCAACGTGAAGAAGTTCGGCGCCAGGGGCAATGGACGCACTGACGATAGCAAGGTCTGTTCATCACAATATACAATTACTGCTTAGATTTTTCTTTTAAAGCTAAATAAATAATTTCTGAAGCTCATTCGATCTTTTCACTGCAATAAAAAAAATTTACAAATATAGCACACAATTCTAATATATTTAGAGATTAATAACTTTATGGTTCATAATCATTATGAAGGCATTCATTGAAGCATGGCGGGCTGCGTGCGGATCATACGGTGCTGTAAGGCTTGAGATACCCTCTGGAACTTATTTCGTCGGGCCCCTTAAGTTCAATGGGCCTTGCACCAATGTCAGCTCCATCACTGTCCAATTGCAGGCCTGTTCCCATCAACAAATCATTCTTCCATATTCATATATGTATACACATTAGGAAAATTTACATGCATACCAGAAAGATTAGAGGGTTGTGCATGAAAATATGAAAGTTTAGAAGATAGATATGTAAATATGTAAGAATGGTGTGGTATGTATGTAAAGGTCTCATTTATAATGGTGCAGGGGACGTTGAAGGCAACAACTGATCTGAATAAGTTCAAGAATCCTCATTGGGTGGAGTTTGGGTGGGTGAACGGGCTTATTGTTACCGGGGGTATCTTTGATGGCCAAGGAGCCGTTTCTTGGCCTTTCAACAAATGCCCCAAACAAATGCATTGCAAAGTTCTGCCTACTGTGAGTTTTTATTTCTTGGCCTTTCAAATTTGTTGTTCTATTATTGTTCATGTAATGATTTAAGCTTTTGACTGAGTTTTACATTTAAAAAAAAGATGAAAATTGAACCCTATCTCTTTAGCCATGATATTGTTTTATCAACTAAAATTATTGTATTATTATTTTTTTTTTAGAATATTTTGTTCGTCAACACAACAAATACAGTTGCGGCGGGCATAACATCCATCAACAGTAAATTCTTCCACATTGCTATTTTGAGTTGCACCAACTTTAAAGGCAGCAACATCAAGATTCGTGCTCCTAAAAATAGCCCGAACACGGACGGAATCCACTTGGAGCACAACTCGGTTGTGACCTTATCACATTTGACTATTGGAACTGGGGATGATTGTGTCTCGATCGGCCAGGGAAACTCTGATGTCACCCTAACCAAAATCAAATGCGGTCCGGGTCATGGGATCAGGTACTAATCAAGCCAATATCAGTTCCTTCATGCAATCCAATATGTTTCAAATCATTTAAGTTAAATGTTATGATATATTTTTTTTGCAAGTGTTGGGAGTCTTGGGAGATACAAGGATGAAGGTGATGTGAGAGGGGTATTAGTTAGAGATTGCACACTTACTGGGACGACGAATGGGGTGAGGATAAAGACATGGCAGAATTCTCCGAGCCCGAGCACTGCATCCAACTTCACATTCGATAATATATTGATGAATGATGTGGACAACCCCATCATCATAGACCAGCACTATTGCCCCTATTCCAAATGCGACTCTTCTGTAGGTCCTCATTCTCTTTTCTATTCAATAATATATCTGATCAATATATAGGGTTTATAATCAAATTTAAAAATTACATATTTATTTAAATTTTGAAGGCGCCATCCCGAGTGAAGATAAGAGACATAAAATTTAGGAACATAAGAGGCACTACGATGAACCCGGAGGCAGTGAGTCTACTTTGTAGCCAAGGAATGCCTTGCAAGGATGTGACACTTCAAGATGTAAGTCTCAAATATGTGGGTGAGGGTGGAGGTGTTGGGGCCACAACCATTCTTAACTCCAAGTGTTTCAATGTAAAGCCGACCTTCAGTGGGACCCAATACCCCCCACCCTGCCGTTAAAATTTGAATTTTGTTCATAGGAGGGGCACAAGTGAAGTCATAGAACTCATTGCATTGTTATGAAGGCATATGAATTTATTGATTTAGTAATCAAATTTTATTTTTTTGCTTATATGTTGTCTTATACATACATGAAAAGGTGTATTTCAATTTTTTTTTAAATTAAAATGGTGATATTTCTATTGTGATATGAAAATTTTGAGTTGTAGAAATGTAAAAAAACCGCGATTAGATGTTAAATATGTAAATATAGAGGAATCGGGTGGTATGTACATAAATGGCAGCTTTTTAAGTTTAGGAATTTAATGATAATTTTAAGAAAATATAAATCATTAAACCCTACATTCCAGGCCTATTCTCGTGTTAAGAATAAAATCTCTAACCATAAAGCCTCACCTCTATCTATCTTTGTAACTTCTCTTCAGTAAGATATATATATTTAAAAAAAAATATTTCCAAATGAAAAAAAAAAATGAAATTAGCTAAATTTATCATTGGATATGTTTTTTTTATAATAATAGATCATATAATTCGATTCAACTCTCGTTCAAGGATCACTAAACTTTTTAGATTTCTTATTTATTAGAACCTTATTCCTATGACCAAAAGTAAGTGTAAAATGTGTTGCTTCACTATATGTTCATGAAAGTTTGAGGATGTGCTAGAGAAAAATATGTTACCCTATTTAATTCATTTAGTAAATCCTAATTAGCGCTAGTAAATAATTCTAGTTTAACATGAAACTCATGTTTTGATTCATTTATCATAAGAATCAAAAACTGAGATTACACTCCCACTTTGTATGCTTTAGTTTCTTGCACTCAAAACAAAGTTTATTGTTGTTCATTCAATCTATAATCAACCAAATGTCAAAAAACTTAAGTGAAAAACTCATGGCATATGAAAGCAAGCTAAGCTCTCAAAAATAGAAAGACATGTGAGCCTCCTTATAGATCATAAGTATGCAGCTGAGTGACTCTTGCGTTTCCTAGAACCAAACACTTTCACCATTCCTCTTTTGGCTTCTTTATTAGATTATCCTTCAAATTCCAAGTTGAAATCAATTAAGAATAGTCCTTCACAATAATAAGAAAAAAAAAAAAATATAGCCATCAATTTAAAAAATAATTTTTTCAAATGGCTAAATGCACATGGGATGTAATTAGCTATGAATCTTTCCTCATGAAAAACATGTACCTGGAAAAAATATATATATCAAATTTAATCAAACATTTTTCGTAGGAAAAATTCATTGAAAAAAAATTTTCAGAGCAAACCAATTTTGAGTAGACCCGAACCTGACCAGCAAACCTGATTTGAGACCTTTAAAATAAACTATGTAGAGAGATTCATATGCATTGCATGATCGTACAAAATACAGATGATCATGTCTATAGCCCAGATTAGTTATATAAACTTTAGCCTAACTGCTTTTGAGCAGAATTTATAGTAAACATGTATATATTACACAAACATAAACCAGAAGATAACATAAGTTATAGAGGGATTTACACAAATACCACCCAATTCCTGTTATTCACATATCTAACACCTAAAATATACTTTCAATCACATAAAAAATACCACTATTTCAACTTTTAAAACATGAAACGCACCTTTTTAAGCATATTTAAGGTGGCATGTATGTAAAAATTAGAGTTTTGGTGTTAGATATGTAAATACATAGAAATTGAGTGTATGCATATAAGCCTTCCATAATAAAATCTAAACTGCAACGCAAAAAGAGAAATTGCATCGCAGAAGGTTGGCAGTCAATGACAGGTTACTAGAAATATTACAGACTAGAGATTAAAATAACAAAACAAGTGCCATGGGGCACAATTCTCATGCATTTAGGTATCTAACACCATAAATTTGATATTTAGATTTATAGCACTTTGGTATAAAAAACTTGTGATGAAAAAGTATAGTTCACTTTTAAAATATTAATGACTGATTTTTGTGTGATGTTAAAGGTCTGAATGATATGCATATAAATATGAAAGTTTAGGTGTCAGATATTTATAAATATAGAAGAATTGTGTGGTATTCATGCAAAGACCAAAGAAAAATACACATTATTTTATGCATAAGTTATAGCACTAACGCATTTATCAAATTTTAGATGTTATATATGTAAATACATAAAAATTGTATGGAATGTATGTAAATGTCCCCAAATCTATTTAACTAGTGTCGGAAGCTTGGACTGTTCGGAACGGTGCTGCAGAATTACCTTGGACAATCCCACTAAGTGGGGTTGGCTATATGAATCCTTTTTCTTCATTGCGTCATATTGAGTTTAATATTTTCATTTAATTCTAATAAATTATGATCATTTTTTATACAATATGCTCAAGTTTTTTTTTATACAATATGCTTACAATATGCTCAAGTTTTTTTAGGTCTACCTTTGCCTTTCTTAACATAAGTCGAATCTAAAACATCTACTCTCCTAATTAGATCATCGGATGGTCGACGTTTAATGTAACCAAACCATCTAAGACAACTCTGTCTACTTTTGCCCGTCCCTGGAGCTGCACCAACCCTATCATGAATATATTCATTTCACATTTTGTCTGAAAAGCCACTCACCCACCTAATCATTCTTATCTCGGCAACACTTAACATAGTTTTATGCTTCTCTTTTAAAGGCCAACATTCAACAACATTGAGCATTGCAGGTCTCACCACCATCTTATAAAATTTTACTTTCAGGTAAGCAGTACTTTTCTGTCACACAAAAGGCACGAAGCATTCCTCCACCTCAACCAACCAACTTGAATTCTAATAACATCCCATTCTATATCTCCATCACTTTGAACAATAGCCCTGAGATATCTAAAACATTTACACTTTCTAATAATTTGATCACCCATAGTTACAATTCTGTCACTAGAGCTACTACTGCTAAAATTACATTCCATGTATTCAATTTTAGTTCTACTCAAACAAAGACCTTTAGACTCCAATGTAGACCTCCATAATTCAAGTTTTTCCTGAGCTTTCTCTCACGTTTTATCCACGAGAAGAATATCATCAGCAAAAAACATACACCAAGGTACATCCTCCTGTAAATGCCCAGTAAGAGCAACCATAACTAAAGCAAAAAGATATGAGCTTAAAGCAGACCCCTAATGTAATCCAACAGAAATAGAAAAAAATATTTGGTCAAACTCCTTAGTTCGAACACAGGTAACAACTCTAGTATACATATCTTTAATGACTAGAATATAAGTCATCAACACCTTTCTTCTCAAGAACCTTGGAACTTTATCGTAAGCCTTTTCTAAATCAATAAAAATCATATTCAGATCATCTTTATTATCTCTGAACTTCTCCATAAAACCTCTCAATAAATGTATAGTTTCCATAGTAGACTTGCCCGGCATAAATCCAAATTGATTATGAGAAATCTTTATAATACGTCTTAACCTATGTTCAATTACCCTCTCCCATAGTTTTGAAGTATGACCCATCAACTTAATTCCTCTATAATTTGCACAGTCTTGTGCATCCTTTCTATTCTTATAAATGGGGGCCAAAATACTCTTCCTCCACCCTTGAGGCTTCTTTTATGTTTTTAAAATAATGTGAAAGAGTTTAGTAAGCCAAAAAACTCTAAAAAAAATATACATATACACTCAATTTTTATGTATTCACATATCCAACACCTAAATTTCAATTCTTATACTTAAGCCACCTTACCTATGCATGGAAAGGTGTATTACAAAATTTAAAAATTAAAATAGCGATATTTTTTTATGTAATATAAATGATCTATGCGGCATAAAAAAAATAAAAATAAAAAAATAAAAAAACAACTTTTAAGTGTTTGATATGTAAATACATAGAATTGGGTGGTCTGTATATAAATGCCCCAAATAATAAACCAATAAATTCATAACAACAAAATTACCAAGTCATTGCGATAACAAGAAATATGTAAAATTCCACATTGGCATCACTACGGCTAATATAAAAGAAACTAGTTGATAAAGGAATGATTTCCAAATCGCAGCCTTATTATCCACATATTGTGCATTATGATGAGGAGACGACGTTTTACAAAGCAAAATGAACTAACGAGACTTGAGAGAATGAAGCACGTACCACTGTGTAAAATTAAACTGTCATCATTTGTCTTTTGTTCCTGAAATAAAATTAAAAAAAGAAATAAAGCTAACTGGAAGGAAAAGAATTGAAATCTTGTGATATGGAGATCCTCCTGCAGAAAGCCAGCAACAAAATGAATCATGTCCTCGCAACATCCAACAAGGCAATTGCCATATTTCACTAATTATAGGAGCTTGCAGGCCATTGAATTTTCCTTGATCTAGAGGCCACAATCAACCAAACAATGATAGCTTCATCAAGGGACCTGTGCACTGCAATAATATCAAAAATTAATAAAACGACCCATATACTATCATTATTAGCTTTATCCTGACTATTTGGGGCCGGCTATATGAACTCTAATTTTCAATTTTTTAAACATAATTTTATTAAATTATTTTCAAATCACTAAAATCAAATTATTAATCACCACATCTTTGATAGATATCACTTGTTATCCTTCAAATATAATCATTCCTTAAATTTATCATTTATAATCTTATCTAACATCCATAATAATATTTTTATATCTGCAACGTGTCGTGTGTTAGTTGAAGGATGCTGTAAAATCTACAATGAAATAACCACCAATGATTGGACGAAAGACAACAGCTGTCTGAAGAAAAATGTTGACATTTAAAGTAAAAATGTACAATTAAAGATTAAAGAATACACCAATTACATAAAATTTGTGGGGTTAAGAAGAAAAATCTTAACATTTAAAGTAAAATGAGTAAAAATTTAAAATGAACACGCATACAACACTCAATAACAACATATATCAAATAAGACGTCACAAAACTAATCAAGAATAATTGAGGTAAGGACATGGATGATGATGCTCATGTCAGACTACACCAAAATAATCTCCAATATTAGCCAGCTAGACTGATTGGTCAAACAATTTTATAATTGTTTATGTGATGGTATCTTGGTTTCATGAATAAACATTCCCACCATTACTTGAAGGAGAGGAAATGCCAGATAAATGACATTAGGTATCCTGCTAGGCTAACCTTCAAGAAGAAAACAAACTTCCAACGGAAAAAGCCTTCTCATTTCTGGTATGGGGGGCTTCAGCACGAAGTGGAGGTGCACATACAGTAATAGGAAGAACCCAATCGCCCTTTTCTCTTTTTTCAACAAGCAGAGGATGCTCGTACCTGCCACATATTAAAAGACAGTCAAATCTAAAAAAAGCATGTTAACAGGCTAAATCACAGGCTAAATCACTTGTAACTTGTAACAAAAAAAAAAAAAAACAGATAAAAAATTGATGCAATGAAAAACAAATTGAGAATAGTGCCAAAATAGTCTCCCAACTCCTTGCCGGAAGGTCATTTTAGACTCAAGAGTATAAAAATATAAAATTAATCCCTGAGGACTATTTTAGCCCCTTTATAATAGTCTAGGGATTAAATTGATATTTTTATAGACTCGAGAACTAAAACGACCCAATGTAAATAGTCAGGAGACTATTTTGACACTTCAAAACCAATTAGACAAGAAACTGATAGGGAAGAAAGGTTTCTAAATAAAGCAGTACCTGTTCAAGTCCACGTGCATCGGGGTAGTGAAAAATTCAAACCGTAGAGACCATTGAACGGAAATATATGGAGTGGAGAAGGACATGGGCCCATCACGAGGGATTGAGAAAATAAAGCTTGTTTGCGCCAAATCAGCAACAACCTCATGGTGATCATTTTGAACCTTCTCACAAAAATAGCAACAGGTAAATTGATTACTCATAGCTCTGAATACAAAAGACATCTGTTTGGCGATCAACTCTTCAACAAGGCAATACTCAGTTTTTGATAAATCACTTGAAGGTCCAATATAAACCAATGGAACATTTCAAGGTCACCACAATTTGAAATAGTCTTGTGGGATACTTGACATAAGATTGAATTGGCTTAGAATAAATTTTAGATTACCTAAAAGATAATTATGTAAAAAATGGTAATAACTGCAATCACCCAAAAAAAAAGGTAGGAAAATTCCAAAATATTGTCCAAAGTTGACGATGGGAATGACGAAAAAAATCAAGATTGTAAACACAAAACCTAGCAAAAAATTATTTAAAAAATAATGTAACTTTGAATTGAGTAATTTTGACTAAAGAATGCTAAAAAAATTGCCATAGGATTTTCTTGATTTAGTTATAAGAATATTTTGTTATTATTAAGTAATATATCTTTTAATTGAGAATATACCAATATTAATTATTTCATTTCCTACTATTTGTATTTATTTATGTACAGACACAAATTAAATCAAGCAAGTCATTTTCCCCCTAGTATGTTATCAAATCAAGGTTGATCCCAACCCTAGCTCCATGCCCTCCCTCTCTCTCTCTCTCCTCCCTCTTCCGCTCAATCGGACCCTCAACCCCATCCAACTCCCTCTCAAGCTCCAATCTAACAAAATGGTGTGACTGAATGTTATCAAATCAAGGTTGATCCCAACCGAAGCCCCGTGCCCACCCTCTCTCTCTCTCTCCCGTTCCAGTCAATTGAACCCTCAACCCCAATTCAACTCCCTCTCAAGCTCCAATCTAACAAAATGGTGTGACTGACATAAGCACCTAACAGCCTTACTATAAAACCAACCGGGCATCCTCTTCTAGTTTGAATGGGGCTGCACTTTTTTCTGTACTTTATCCAGAAAAATCTATTTTTCACTAAGCCCCTCAAGTTTTGGATGAGCTTGTTTTACACACTCTGCTAATTCAGGATAAGATTTCTTCTGCGTTTTTAAAGATATCTTAATGGGTTATTCTCAAACTGCGAAAGGTCTTCATTGTTATGATCCCTCTACCAATTGCATTTATACCACCACATTTGCCATCTTTAACAAAACATACCGAGCTACCCATCTGTCTCCATTACAAAATTTTATAGTGTCCCACTTCCACCTCTTGCTTTCGTACTTACTCCCGCTTTAGTACAAGTTCTTACTCATTAGCCATGAAAACCTCCCTCTTATACAACCACAACTAATTGGAAAAATTTTCTGTTAGGATTACTGACGTAGCACTACATGCGGACTCCAATAATACCACGTCACATGTGCTACATCGCGGAGGTTATTTCAAAATTATTGAAGTGAAACCGCGGAGGTTATTTATTTTCAATAACCCCGAAATAACCCAGAAATAACCCCGAAATAACCTCCGAAATGTTATTTCAGGGGGACTATTGAAGTGGAGCCGCGGAGGTTATTTTGGAATTATTTCAGGTTAATTTGGGGTTATTGCGGAGTTCGTGATTTCACTTTAATATTTTTTTAGGTAGGTCCGATATAGCACACATTGCAGTATATTATTGGGAGTCCGCATGTAGCGGACAGAAAATTTTTCCCAACCATTTTGTCATCTAAGACCAAGCATCTGTCTATAACCTCCAACCTACATCTCCCAATTGCATTTCAAAAAATAATGTAATGTGGCGCTCACCACATGATAAATCTTTGATCGTAATCATTTTACTTCCTTTTTGGGTAGTTTTCTTGTATCTCTTAATTATTTCTATTTTCATAATGCACCGACAACCATTATTTGATCTTAACTAGAAACATGCAATGGATATTTAAACGGGGGCTCTCCTTGATCACACAGCTGAATTTCATTTCACCACCCATTGCTATCAAGCTTACTCCTACTCGGTGGTTTTTCATGAATTTCGTTTCATCTAAATGGTACAATTGATTGTTATAAAGTCTGTTTGGTGGCCAAATGACACACAAATTCATAACATTCGTCATTTTAATACTTTTCACTAGTGTCACTCTTTTGGAGATTGATGCGGGGCTTTGCCCGCATAGACGCGGGAGCGGACTTCTTCCCGCACTGATGTGGGTGAGAGAATTTCCCACACAGATGCGGGAAATAGGATCCAGTTGAATCGGTTGGCATGGGGACCGGTCCAGAGGACCCAGTCCAGGCTTCAAAAAGACTCGAGCGGCACTTGCAGCTTGCCTTTCCCGTCTCCTGCCCAGATCGAACAACATTGAAGAGGGTTGCATTGTCGCCTGTCCTTTTTTCTTCCTTCCTTTTGTGTCATCTTTTCCTTTCTTGTTTCCCAACTATGCTTATTTTCTGAGTTTGTAGAGAGTATTTTGTTATTTTTTATTTTAAATTTCCTGTGTGGAGTCTTCTTTCCCCTCGAGAAAAATGTATCTAACAGTTAGGGTGGTGTTCTGGTTGTATCCCTCTCCCCGGTAGTGATCATATCTTCCTTGTTTCTGTTTCCAACAGTCTACCTTACTATCCAGCACCTTCCCGCTGCACCAAACCGCCCGCATCTTTGCCACAATGCTGCCCAATAACTCATCCTTGCTACTGCCACCCCAGGGCAGCCAACCCGCTAGTTATTCATGCAGTTTTCTCACCTCGCCTTTGTTGCCGCCAACCCCGCTAGTCATCCTCATCCACCTAGTAACCTCTATCGCCCTTGCGATGCGCTCTCGAGGTGTATGTTGTGTCACTTTATGTGTTAATGATGATATTTTCAGTTTGTGTGTGTTGTAACCCTATTTCCATATTAATAAAAGTTATTCTTGTGGTTTGGGACTTTTCCTCCAGTATCATTTGGTATCAGAACTAGCCCAACCTTAGTCCAATCCTAGGGTTTCCTAGCGTCCATCATAACCCACAAAATTTCCTTCCTACCACCCAAAACCCTTTGCACCACCACATGCTCCTAACTCTAAATCCCCTCGTTGAATTTTAAAATCAGTAACCTTAACCCAATTAATTTTACCCTCTTCCACCTCCACTATTTTTTTTTCCTTCTTATTTCTAAACTCTATTCCTAAACCCTAACCATGCCACTAAGGAGATCTATACCCGAGCCTACCTGGGAGGAGATACGGAGAGAGATCCGCCGACATAGGCGGTGGGGCGGTGGATTACAGACAAGGCGGTGGATTACAGACATGGAAGATGAAATCCAATGGAAGACTACCCTCGACTGTTATCTGAAAGGTCAAAGGGAGAAATGAGAAATATGAAGATAAAGTAAGAAACAAAGCGTCAGTTCCTACCAACTTACTACCGCAAAAAGTTGCAGCTGCTAACTTTCAAGGTGGAGAGACCGAAGCACCAAGCAACCCCCCCCTTGGCTACTATCCAGCGCAACCAATCCGAAGTCTGTCATAGTCAGAAGGTGTTGCAAGTGCTACGGATTCGGGCAAGTGGAATCAGAATTTACAACAAAAGGAGAGATTTGTTTCATTGAATAAGATGTTGGGCAATGAAACAGTTGATATGATAAAAGATGAAAACTTCCGAGAGGATTCTCCACTTGCAGCTAGCAAGAAAGAGACGTCACCGGTTCTAGAAGACCCCAAGATAAAGATTCTAAGAGAGAAAACAGTATCCGTTCAAGAAGATAATGACCTCGATATAATGAGCATTCAAGTAGAGTAATAAAAGTGTGGTACCTCGAGATACCGTTTCACGGGCGTTGAAAGGAACATCAACAGAAATTACATGGGATGTATACAAGGGTTATGAGTTTGAGGAGCCAACATCAGATACAGATACAGGTTCACCCCGGATAAGCGAGATGTAGAATTTTCAAGTGTATAGCGCCAACCAACACCCCCCCTAAATGGAGTTATTCATAGGTTACTTTCGGGCTAGCATGGGACACATCGTGAGATGTCCAAAAAAGAATGATTAACACCAACATGTTAATATGGGTCTGAGCAGCTTGATGGGGAAGAAATTCTACAATAGGACTCAGGTCCTATTAGTGGAGAAAATATCTCTCCTGATTGTAAGTAAGAGTGATGCAGTCTGCCAAAGGTATCACCCCAAATTTGACTTCTTTTTACATACTAATTCATTAGTTGCACTCAGCTGAATACGAGAAGTGGATGAAGCAGGTTACAATTGGGATGGCTCGATACAGGATCCATGCGAATGTCCGTCTATCTATCAACAATTTCCGCTCAGGTTGTGCTAAAGATAGATGAATACCTATTCTACCAAAATGTGCCTTGGAACGACAACGCCTATAAGATCGACCTGCTAGGGGGCTACGATGTCTCAGTTACGCTCAAAGTCACCGACCTGACATAGTACTACGCGGACACTTGAAGCTTCGACAAATGAAGTCGAAGTTCCCCCAAACTCGCGAGAAATGCGGGGCTTCCCCTGCGTAGACGCAGGAGTGGACTTTTTCTTCGGACTGATGTGGGTGAAGAAATTTCCCGCACATATGTGAGAAATAGGAGCTAGCTGAAATGGCTAGCATGGGGACCGGTCCAGTGGACCCGATCCAGGCTTCCAAAAGAGTCGAGCGGCAGTTGCAGTTCCCCCAAACTCGCGAGAGATAGACGCGGGAGTGGGCTTTTTCTACGCGCTGATGCGGGTTAAAAAATTTCCCGCACATATGCGAGAAACAAGAGCTAGCTGAATCAGCTGGCATGGGGGCCGGTCCAGTGGACCCGATCCAGGCTTCCAAAAGAGTCGAGCGGCACTCGCGGCTTGCCTTTAAATCTCCTTCCTAGATCGAGCAAAATTAGAGAGGGCGGCATTGCCGCCTGCCCTTTTCTCCTCAATCCTTTCTTGTCGCCTTTTCCTTTCTTGTTTCCCAGCTAGCTATGCTTATTTATATGCTTATTTTCTGAGTTTGTAGAGAGTCTTTTGTTGTGTTTGATTTCGTGTGTGGAGTCTTCTTCCCCCTCGGGGGTTGTATTCGATGGTTAGAGTGGTGTTTTAGTTGTATCACTCTCCCTGGTGGTGATTGTACATTCCTTGTTCCTATTTCCAACAGTCATCTTGTTGTCCAACACCTTCCCGCCGCCCCAAACCGCCCGCGCCTTTGCTACATTGCTGTTGACCCAGCCATTCTTGCTGCCGCCGCCCCGGGATAACTAACATTTGTTGTTCCTGTCGTTTCTGCCCCAACTTCTTGTTGTATCTGCACAAGATAGCCAACCCAATAGCAGTTCCAATTGTTTTCTCACCTCGCATTCGTTGCCGCCAACCACGCTAGTCATCCCGATCAACCTAGTAACCTCCACCGCCCTTAGAATGCACTCTCTGAGGTCTTGGTTGTGTTGTATTATGTGTTGATGATGTTATTTTCAATTTGTGCGTTTTGTAACCCTATTTTCCTATTAATAAAAGTTGTTCTTCTAGTTTGAATCTTTTCCTCGGGCTAGTTTCTACTCTACTCTAAAAAGTGTTATATCATCTTCTTTTTACAAGTGGTGTGTTTGCATTTTGCTCAGGAATAGTGGTGGAACCTCTTCGACGCCCATACTTCCTAGTTTCACAGTTTTACCATTGTTCTTAGTTCGAACATCTATCGAACTATTCGATCATGCTTTCCGACAGAAGAATTCGGCCGCTGAGCGCCTCATACCCCTTCAAAACACCGTCAACCTTGCAGAGTTTCATTTCCTCACTATTGCACAACCACTTTTCCGCCACTTCCTATCTCCTTATTGGAGTCTTATATCCATTTCTATCTAATAATTTACTATCTTCTATTGCTTTCACGATCAGCTAGCATTGCATATGAAATTGCTCCAAAAACAAAATCAATCCATGTAATGGCAAACTATCAAATTTGGACAAACCTATTAATATAATACTTTTATAATCACCAAAGATGCAATTTAACCATAGGACAATTTACTGCATATTAATATCAGATAAGTTTAACATTAAAATGAACAGAAAAAATTCCATGAGCAGAATAACCTTTCTAATAACTAGATTTCAGAAAAAAAAAATTTCAAGATCATTTAACCCACTAAAAATTAATACTAAAGTCCAAGTACCTTAGTTATTGTAGGAGCATTCTTCCTCGAAGGATGAACATATTGTTGATTGATAACTTCTGCTATCTCCAAGGTGATTGAAACCTGAGAAATATTAAGGAAGCAAGTGAAATAAATCCATCATTCTTATAAAACAAACAACTAAGTTTATTATGCCTCTTTTTCCAAAAATGACTAATACTAGTACCTCAAGGCATTTCCTGGGTCCCTCTTCATGAAAGAAAGTGAGAGTACCACCAATCTGTATCAGGATATTGAAACTAGTACTGCCGCATCACATATACAGATACGGAAAAATCAAGTGAAAACATCAAATGATAAAACATACCATGTCACCAAAATAATAAGTTGAGTCAGAGTTCTTTGGTGAGAATCGGAGCAAGACTTGGTCATCTATCCTTATGTTGTAGGATCTTCCACGAATAAAGCCTTCTGCTGCAGAAAATGCTTACTAGAAATTAGCTATCTTCTTCACTCGTGATTGTTAAAGATCATAAGCAGCAAAACCAATTTAAGCAGAGAAAGCTCCAAAAAGTTGCAATGCATCTAAAGTCGTAATATAGCATATGGAAATTCATCTTCATTAATCAAGAGAAGATATGCAAAGGTCACTTATGTAAAAAACCATGGAAATTTGAGGATGTAAACTTACATGCCAGGGGTTCAGCACATCTACTGGCAAATGTTGATGCAACATCATCCCTAGCGTCAAAAGAACTTGAAAGTTTCTTTTGATGAGGGTACAAACATAAAGAATGATGAAGTTTCTTATGAGGTAAGACAATACCTGCCATGAGGGAGAGAATACATGATAAAAATATACACAAACCAGTGAAATAAATAACAAAGCTGCTTCACCACCACATATGATGATGCTCATCTAAATTAAGTATATGATTTCTATCTCATTGTCATCTTTTTGACAGTTAATTAGTGGAAAAGCAACAGTTAGAAGCTAGACTATGGGGATTATTCTGAATAGGCTTCAAGAAATAAAATCATGATGGATAACTAATCAGTAGAATGTGCTTTTTTTTTTTAACAAAAATAAATCATATTATTTAAATTTCCACTAATTTTCAATTTATCTTTAAAAGATTCTCCAATTTATTATTATAATTTACATCAATTTATTAAAAGATGTGTATTAATTTATACATAATTACTAAGTAGCCACATGCTTTCACGTTTTTCATCACCTTTTGTGTAAAAAAGATCGAAGAAAACACATAATACATCACTTTTACTAAATGAATATGAGGTTGGTTGGGGGCTCGCATAGCCTTATATATACCTTTGCAACGAAAATTTATTAAACAATATTTACCTAGCTGTTGACAATGATTTTATATGAGCTCAGATGCCAATAAGCTTTATTTATTATTATATAATTTACAATAATAATATTGTTAATTTAAGAAGGCAACTTGTTTTAAGAAAAAAGGAACCATAAATAAAATTGTTGATCTAATAAATATTAAAAATGTAATATATGAGAAAAAAATATCATGTATATTTTATATAGCATAACATGAACTTTAAGTTACAAGCACTATGTGTACGTGCATCCTTACAGATACTTTATAAAAGCAAGAAAACAACATACGTTCATCAGAATTATCAATGACCTCGGCTATGGAGAGCTTAGAAAGAGGCATGTAAGACAGATGAGTGGAGCGCTCTCCTTGAGCATATTGGTATTCAGAACTTGAGAGCCTTGCTGAGATTGACTCAGAGGATAAAGATTTTTTGACAGCTAAATCAATATTTCCTCTGGCAGGAGTATAAGACGAAACAGAGGACACCTCATCCCTCGAACTATCATACCCTTCTTCAAATCCATCTAAAAATTCATTTGCTAGAACCTGTCATGTTAATGAAAGGCTGCGCTTATTAAGATTGCATGAAATGTTAGATGCATAACAACTAGGTCAAAAAACTTCAATCATACACAATCTGGCTGATTACAAGGATAGTACTATGAAGTTTAGAATCACAAGTGATTCGATTCTTAATTTTGTTTTGAAGAGAAGTTAAATTCTCATAATACAGTTATGCTCAGAATGTTGAAAGAGTGAGAAATTAATACCAGCGGCAGGCTGCTTTGAGATTACTCTAGACAATCTCGAAGGCAAGTAAAATTTACAAGCATCAAGTCCTTCAAATGACTAGTTTGTTTGTCAAACAAAATTATTGGGATGATAGTCAATAGGATTTTTTTTTTTCTCTTTAAGCATAACGGCTAGATGCTTTTCATCATTTTAGGTAAACTCGTGCTAGCCAGCAAATCGTGCAACTAGTTGACCACCATATCAACCCAGCAAATAAAATGTTCAAACAAGAGGAAAATGGTGGACAACAGTCGTTATATCACATAAATCAGAATCAAGATGTATCGCCCAAATGAAAATACTCAAAGGCGGCCTGTTAGCAAAATGGAATGCTCTAATGTGTCTGGAGCATTAAAATTACCATGAAGGGGCATTGACAATCAATTTGAACATGCATAACAAAAAAATGCGCAGAACAGACACAATGCCATGCAAATATGGTCTGAAATGTCTCAACGCAATTAAAACCATTCAATCATCACCAATTCAGTAAAATGAATATCAGCGACATGTCCAGAACATCTAAAGTATGGGTCACTACACGAGATAAATTCAGGGAATTTACCCAAGCACAAGGCAACAACGTAATCAATAAGTTCAAGACAATGAAAACTTATAAAAAATAATAAACACAATTATTAATTATTATTATTATTTTAAAAATTTTAAACTAAATACATCGCTGCCTTAGCCATCCATACCCTCAAATCTAGCGTCAACTTGTCCTCTTGTGCTTGATTACATAAGTATAATTCCCGTCAAAAAATATTAGAAAATGGCACAAAACCCTCGCTCTACTCCTTTCCCTTCTTCATCTCTATAATTCACAACCTATCCAATGCTCGCTTGTTGCCCTCCCTCTCTCTCTTACAAATACACGCACATTTTCACTTCACACAACCCTCGATCTCCCCTCACTTCATCCTGCCTATCCTCTCCACTCCTACCCAAAGCCATTTGATGATAGATAAGCAAGGAAGTTGTGAAGGAGGCTTGTTGTCAAAGCATCGATGGGATCATGATGTGAGGAGAAGGAATAGGATTTAAGATTTTATAGAATTAGAAGTTTCTATTCTATTTGGTGGATTTAAGCTAAATCTTGATTGAATCCATCTTTCTCTATCACTATAAAAAATGGGTAAAAGGATAAAAAAAGAATGAAATAACCAAAAAGATGAACCAAAAAGTATATTTTGATCTTACCCAATCATCGCCATTATGCCTTTTTTATCATGCTCGCCAACTTATGTGCGAATGTATAACACACAATCCATTAATACTCAACAAAATCTAGATTGTGACACATTTGAAGTGACAAGCTAAACACATGCAAGCCTTTCTAAGCACGAAGAAGGAAACTCATAGGTGATACTAGCGATACCCTGGGTAAACCCAATGAGCACTTTTATTAGCACGAAAGAGAAAATATAATACATTGCAATTTTTTTTTGACAAGAGATCTATAAACACCTTTTTTTTGGCATGGAGAAGAGAAGATTTGTACACACATCATGATGCAGCGTTTTAATGCAAAGCAACTAATACCGGAGTGATCCCAAACAACGATAGGAAAACCAAATATTATTGCTTGATTCAAAATAAGGGAAATACAACACACACATATGGAAGTAGAACAACAAACAGATGCGGTCCAAATATGACTAGGGATGTAACCTAATAGGTGGTGGTCTACTACGGGGGATGGAGGGCGTTCAATGGCTTCATTTGGAAGGTGTGATGATGGAAGTGGGTTGCAATGGGATGGCAAAAAGAGGTGGACAGGCCTACGGTCGAGGGGAGGTAAGAAGGTTGAAGGTTGAGCCACTGTGGAATGGCAACTGGCTGGGATGGCAGAAGGGAGAGGGTAGGCTGGTGGTTGGGATGGTAGGGACGGCTGGTAGTGGGACGGGGCAGAGGAAAGCTAGGTAGGGATTGGTGGAAAAAACTCTGGAAGGCAGCAGCAAGGTTGAAGAATATGTGGTTGGATGTGGGAGCAGAATAAACTACAAAAAAACAATCCAAATGTGCTATCAGACAGTTGCAACAAGGAGAAAGTATAGCAGTAACGGAGAGGTAGTTGTGGAGGGAGGGAAAGTCGAAAGTAGTTATCACCTTGGAATAAAATACAATCAGATGTTGACCTCATTTTTGGTGAGGTTTCTTCTTCTTCTTAGAGCCTAGGGTCTAGACTTAGGTCTTCCTGTTAGACTCTTAGAGGACTAGTCCGGGACCCGCACCAACTAAATATTCGAGCCACTTCTTGACTCCTTGCAGTTTAATATGGGTGATTCTAAATCATAAACGTTTGGTTGAGTCGATTAAAACTAACGTAACGAAACTCAAGTCGAGTACCCACAGGATCTAAAGCCTTAGGAAACTCATTGTGACTTCGGCGCGCTCTCACGATGAGCGAATACTTTAATTCACGCGCTCGATGCACATAAATATCGAAGTTCACGTCATCTGCACCTGTAGAAGGCTTCACGATTGACCAAGCTCGAATCAATTACTGGAACAAATGATCACAAACGAAGATTTTGAGAAAATAGAATTTGACACGTTTTCAACTCGGTCGTCGAGGTTGTTCGGATGAATCCGAACGACAAAATGGACTACATCGGCGCGTCAGGACCGTCGATTTTAGTTAGGAGAGACTCCCATGTCGATATAGTTTCGCGCGCAAGCGAAAGTGCGCAAATTGAGGGAGTTTAAATAAGATTAATATTTAAATAAAATAAAAGAGATTTATTTCCTGAAATCCCTACCTCACTCAGGCGCTCCTCTTCGGCCGGTCTCTCCTTCCCAATCGCGAGCCAAACCCTGCCACCGAGCCCTACTCGCTCCTCACTCCCCCTCCCGCGCCTTCCTCTCGAACCTTCCTCTTCAAGTGACGAAGGTTGACCTCTTTCTCTTGTCCGACACCCTTTGCCCGAGAACCTCCTTCTCAAGGCCCTTGGCTGCTTCGCTACACCCTCCTTCACGAGACCCTTGACTACTCTCGATTTCTAGTGGCAAGAACCCCTGATTTCCTTCTCATTCGGCTCCCTCCCAAAAGTCTCTCGGTGGAACACAAAGCTTCCTCACTCGGCTCCCCAGCCAAACTCCCTTCTCCCTTCTACGACTCCTACCCAAAATACATGAGGAGGCAAAGATGTAGTCGCAATATACAAAGAGCATCTCTTTTCTTCAGTTCGCACGAGCCGAGCTTCCCCTTTTTCCTTCCTCGGTCTATCGTCGGCGAGAGTTGCGGGGATGGGTTTCGTTTTTGGCTTGGTACCCGATTTTTTTTGTGTTTGCTCATCATTCATGGTTTGCTAGATATTCTTCTTGGTTTGCTTGGTTTCACTTTGCTTTGCTCAATTTTGGGTTTGGTCGCTCGATACTATTATTTGTTTGCTCGATATTCTTGTTGAGATCTCTTCAGTACTGAAAGAAGATTCACAGATTGTTGATCATCTATACATATATTGGTCTGCACTTCAAGAAGTAATAAAATTGGTAAAATCGTTTGTTGATGCTGCTAAGGCTGGCTTGCTTTCAGTATTTTCTGGCTTTTAATAATAATGTAAGCACTTCGTTGCCTTCCATATTTCCTGCTGCTGGTACACACGCCTTCACCAATTTCATATACAGTTAATAAGATAAGGAGACTATTCGATCCATAATTATTTAGGAAAATTTACATATATGTCATGCAATTCTTAAGTATTTACATATCTAACACCCAAAGTTTGATATGTAAACATATAATAGTTTGGGATCATACAGTTGTGCACTAAAAGAATATATCTCGTTTTAAAAATATATATACTCATGACGGTATTTTTTATGTGACCTGAGTGTTTTGTTTGCAGATATGAATCTCTAGGTGTTGGATAGGTAAATACATGAGAATTGCGTGGCATATATGTTAATTCCCCAAAATAATTATGAAATGAATGGTGAGAACGTTATGGTTGTTGGATTGAATGATTGGGTGTCTCCGTATGCTTATGTTGGTTCCTAATTTTTTTTGGGATTTGTTCATATTATATATAAGAATTGCTCCAAGATTCCGGAAAGTCAGGAAATCTAATTCTATTTACTTTGTTATTTACATAATTTCTTTCTGAAATTTTAACAATCTTTGCTCTCTTATATTAATATCACATTTTCAACGTAAAAAATAAAGAAAATGAAATGCTTTATTTGAAGCATAGGGAAGATGGCATGACATGAATGTTCATCATATTATATTGTTTGCACATTCATCATCGCACACATATGCTTACATCTTTGTAGCCATTTATTCAATTATATTCTCATACCAATCTTCTTTGTGATTGCTTGCTTAAATCTGGATCATTGCAAAGCTATGGCAGACTTTCAATAACAACAATAGAAAGTGCAAGAGGACTTGGCAAACAGGGATTTGAGCTGGGAGATGTGGATCTGGTTCTTTTGGTTGAGCAACTGCGCCTTCTTCCTTAGCCCTTCATGCTACTGCATCCACTAAATTCCACTTTGATGGGTGCATTTTACAAGGTAAACCATATATATAATTTAAGTATATAGGAATTGGGTGGTATGTACATAAACGCCTCTTTTATTTCTTTAGATATAAAGCGACTTTTCATAAGGGAGATGGTATGAAAGTTAGAATTGAAGGTTTGGATGTTATATGAGTAAACAAGAGGGAATTCTCTTGATGCATGATATCCATTAGTAGGAAGTTTTGATAACTTGCTGATTTGGAAACGTTATTGCAAGAGGTA